ATTTCTGTTTTTTTTCAACTGAAGCACAGCAGCAAAAAAGAAAATATTTTAAAAAGAAAAAAAAAGATAATTACTCTTTGCCTTTTTGGGAATTCTGATCATTTTATTCTTAAAAAAATGAAAATAATTCTATTTCATTTCCAAACAATATGTTTCAGAAGAGGTCTTACTGAAAAAAAAAGGTTAGTTTTCAGATCAACCATGTACTTAGATATTTTCACGTGACCATGGTTCAAAAGGAGGGGCAGTTACATCCTCTATTTCTCTTAGATTTTTGAAACCACATTATAATCCACTAGTTTCATGTGTAGTTTTATAACAAATGTGACATCCTGCATGGCTTTCAAAGATAAACCCAGCTAAAAAAAAAAGTAAATCTTTCCATCTTAAGGAAAACCTTAACATAATTTAAAAGATCTATCTAGATATAAATATAGATAGATATATATTGTTTTTAATGTAAGAGTGACGTGTGGCTTCTGGTCTATATGTTCTTTTTTCTTTGAAGACTAAATACCAACAGCACAATATGCAGAGCCTTTGTCATAAAGCTTTTCTCCCCCTCTACGGTCAGCTTTGGGTCCGTTGTTCTTATCTCAGAGACAGCTCAAGGGGCAATTTCTCAGGCTCTGCTGGGAAGCAGTCCCAAGCTCCAGCAAGGCCCACATCTCAGAGGCTGGTCATGGTGGTTTGGACAGCATAGGCACCAGCACTGCTGTGCATCCCCGCGTTCTTCACATTGCGCTCGTGGACGAACGCGGGGCACTGTCCGTCCGCGCCGCGCGTCCTCGGCGGGGCCCACGCGTCCCACGCGCTTCCACCACGGAGACACCGGTCGGCAGCGTCAAAGGGCCTGGAGTGTTGGGGAGCGGGAGGGGGCACAATTAGTAAATGGGCACGGAGGAGGAAGAGGGTGGAAAAGTAAGGCAAAGGTAAAGATAAGGAGATCGATGCAAAAAGATGAGGAAGAAGGGCATTGCTGGGAGGTAAACGCTGAAGGAAGAGGCATGCGATGTACGTGTACGTGAGGACACTGCCAAATAAACCCCTTTTCTGCACAGTATCATGCACATTTTTGCACAGTTCTGAAATGACAAGTTAAGCTCTCTCATGTATACATTGCCTACACTTACCAAATGAAAAGCGCGTTATATTTCAAAGTGCTTCACAAAACTGAGTACGAGCTGTGTGCATTTTACAGATGGGAGGAAATAACGCAACGGAGGAACAGGCCTGCCAAGTATACAGCATGCTTTGTTTGCAGAAAACAAGTTTAAGAGGCAGGTCTAAATGTACAGCTGAAACCAACATCTGTAAGCAATATCAGTTTTCAAAGTCACTGGAAAATGCAGATTTTAATGCAAGTTTCAAAAAGAAAAGGAGAAGAAAATAGAAACTCAGAAAAATGAGCATTACTATGCAGGAAAAAACAGTAGAGCAAACACAAAGAATTCACAATTTAGGTGACTAAGGGACTAATACTACTGAAGAAGTTGACTGCAGCTATGACTTGGATTAGCATAAAAAACTTAGTTGGAAAAGGACCATTTTACAAAAGGTCACAATACAAACTAAGATCTTGCTTTCTAATTTTGCATATGAAGGCATAATGGTTTGTAAATTTTAAATTTTGAATTACTAAAATCAAACCCACAGAAATGCCATGCACAGTTATGGCTAGTCTATACCATAGTTGGAATAAGGTCCTCCAAAAGCTAGAAAAAAAAGCAAGGGAGAACACTCACCACCTTAAACAGTGTTTTGAAAAATATTTTTATGCAGGAGCCCTTAGCTAGGAAACTGAAAGGCTTTAGGCACAAGCATCTCCAAAGCAGCAAGGATAAGCAATTTACTGAAACAGCTGAATTTTAAAATACTTAAAAAACGGGCAATGATCAGATGAAAAGATAACATGTTATCTGTTGTCTGTGTAGCACTAGGATCCTTCACTGGTACGTTTTAGGAGCGGTTGATGTGAAGGTACAGTCAGGTATCAAAAAAGTGCTTGGAAGAAAGCACTTCATAAACTATTGAAGCAAGGACATTCCTAAAACAAAGGTATTCCTTCAGCTTAATGTAGAAGACTCTACTTAATGAGCCAAATCTAAACAAAGTGAAATGATTGTTGCTGTTCACATAGAGGGGTCAGACAGCCTTCAGCTCAAATTCCACCTTCTCATGTTCCAGAACAGCCAAGCAGCCAGAGCAGGAGCTGGAAGATCACAGTGTTAAGGCAGGGAAGCAGGAAAGCATGCAGGATTCTCAACAGTGGTAAATGATTAATGTTCAGGGATAGTCCTCCTTTAGAAAAGAGACAGGTTTTATATAAAGGTCACCCATGGGTAAATTCAAAATTTTGGTTTTTGTGAAATATGCCAAGGGAGTGACCTGTACATACTGAGGGCTCCAATCCTCAACAGTTTGTTACATTGTTTTCCCATCTCTTTCATGTACGCAATTAAGGGAAAGCTACATCCAACAGCAAGCAAAGAAAAAAAAAAAAAAAGAAAAAAAAAGGAAAAAAATCCCCTACTTATTCCACAATAAGGATGAAAATATAGAACTTTTATCTCCTGTCCTATCTTGGCACAGAAAGAGCTTCTTGGAAAAAGACTAAACTTAGAACAACAGAGTTCATGTTTTAGGCTTCCCAGACTTGCAGCTAATATTCCAGAACACTTTCAGATCCTGCAGACCAGTACAGCTTTCCTGTACTGACAATTTTACAGGAATGGAGCAAAGTTAAAAAAAAATAAAAAAAAAACAACAAAAAATCCCACACTAAAATCCTTCCTATCTGGCAAAGTACTTTCTACAATCTGGTACAATTGCTGTTGGCAGCTGCAGCATTAACATTTTAAATTAAAGGAAACATTGACATTAGGACGGATCTAAGCTGCAAGGTAGCCAGTACAGGCATCTGCCAAGCAGAGCATGGAAACTCATGAGGTCGGGACCTTACTTCTAAACTCCTTCAATCCAACTATCTACCAAATCCACAGTCCAAAAGATTTTGGTGTTCTCAACAATCCTTGGCAAGCTCTCTCTAAAAGAAGACTATTTTTCTGACAGAAAGCAAAGGTAATTCATGCAGAAACAGGCCAATTAAAGACAGTAGCAGTTGGAAGGAAATCTTGTTAGCAGCACCGAGACACCCTTGCAGGTGCAATAGCCAAGTCACAGCCCCCGGCAATAAATACATATGTTCTGGCAATTATATTAACCTAATCCCACTTCCCATCTAGGCAACCAAAATGTAGCTCAATTGCTGACTCAGCTCCAAACTGTTGTCTTCTTCCTACAGCTGGATGTGCCCTTTATTACAGGCAGTACTGTTTCCAGTGGGTACACTAAAACCAGAAGACAACCACTTTCAATAATTATATGGCTCAAAGACACACAGCACATTTGCAGTACAAGCACTGCACTCTCAATTAAAATATATCAATTGCCAAGAAGCTTGTCTTCTTTACAACACGCTGTTTTGGGTTACATGCAGGTGTATTTCACATTCACTCCCACTCTTCTATACAAAGGCTACATCCTGCAGCAGCTGGCACATAAGCTTAGACGCCTTGACAATGTTATGACAGACAGGCTTAAATTCTTAATCCTAAAACAGGCATACCAAACCCAAAACTGAAACAGATTGGCTATAGAGCCCTCTCTGCTTCAGAACAAAAGCAGTGAGATTTCAATAAGCAACAGCAGCCTTGCAAATACGAGCAGGAACAGTAGCACCAGTCAGATATCCAAGGAGAGCTGCTTGGAGCAAGAGTCAAACATCTCCACCAAAGGAAATACAGGTCTCTAGCACTCATCTTGCAATTAGGTCAAAAGAACAAAAATAAAACCATATTGAGAATGCTGAAGAATAAAGAGACCACCACCTTTCACCCACCACCACGGAAGGAATCGAGTGACCAACAGGATCCCACCATAGACAAGCACAGAGTTCAGATACTAGATAAATCAAGGGCAAAAGAAAGAAAAACAGCATTGATCATATGTTCTGATTGAAATTTCAATAAAATGCAACTCAAAGCAGAATTACCATCCCCCTTATCATCCCAAATCAGTAGTACGAAAAGTCTTTAAATGAATACAGTTTATGAAATTAAAATACATCTGTCATCGTACTGTTAGAAACAGGTATCATCCACTTTTAAGAGATACTGAAGCAAAGCAGGTTCATATACCTGACAATGGCAGAAAGACTTTTTCTCTTGAGGGCTGAAACTGCTTGGGATAAGAGCTTTTGTGTCACTCCATTCCACTGTTACTGCTCCTGAGGAGTCTGGCAAAAGCCAGAATGATCCTTCTAGGATAAGCCATATTGCCTCTGAAGGCAAAAGAAGCTGAAGAAGTTAAGATGACATGTGCACAAGAACTGGGTTGATATATGTCAGTTTCGGTTTGAAAATAGCTTTGTAATATAGAATTAATTTAAGAAAAGTTAAATGATGTGTACATTTATCTATCTTCAAACAAATCATCCTCGTTTTGAGATGCATCCAATCCATAAAACAAATACTCTGATTACACGAAATCAAAGCTCTTATCTTCAGCTTGTGTCATTTTCCTCAAGCTCCCATTCTTCCCAAGATCATGAGAAAAGTCACCCATTTCAAAAGGTTCAAAAGTGATTCACAAAGATACCAGTTTACAAGATTCTGTATTATCCTAAGGATCAAGGTAAGCCCTTGGGCCCATGATACCAAGCAAAAGGTTACAAAGGATATTGTGGCAAATGAGAAGGACATAGCTGTCTCCAAGACTTGAAAATGCTACTTCAGTCCGTGAAGAAATTTTCTTTTGGTTGGCAGTGACTAAGCCACACATAATTCATAGGAAAAAAATCAGCTGCATGATCACTAAACTTGATTGTCAACTTCCATAAAGATATAAGGAGAGTAGCTTACTTAAGTACAGATAAAGGAACAGCTACTTGAATCATGCATAAGCAAACAAAATCCACTTCCCAGCAAAGCAGAACATACCACTTCTTGTCTTGCTGGCTGGCTCCTGGGCTCCTTGGGAGGTTTTCTATTTCCACTAAGACTGGGGTGGAAGGAACCGCTGTTACGACAGGTAGGTTTGGTTTTGCATTCCAGCTCTTTGGAGACAGAATATAAACAAGTTATTATACACAATTAACGACATGATGACATGCTAAAGAGAACACAACAGATCACCACTCCTTATGCACGAAACTAAAGCAAGGCCATTGTCTTCCCTTACTTCCATAGCACTGGATACCTATGCCCAGTCTTTTCCAGTACTGCACACAGTACTGGGATCATAGGGAATCCAAGGCTGCTCAAAGATTCTGATAAAGAGCTCTGTGTCCTTTTTAAGTTCATGCAGTAATGCTTTCCTTCTGTAGGAAACTTTTTAATAATGACTGGCACCTTTGTGTTGCATGCCTTTGGGCTGCCATTTGAAGCATAACAGCTCCTGAAAAAAACCACTCCTTTTGCACAGAAGGCAAAAGGCTGGGCAGAGTAGCAATCTATCAGTGAAAATTGAGTATTTTAATATTAAAACAACCCAAAACCTTGTTTCCACCAATATGTGACCCCTCCTGGTGCACTCTTCATCTGAAATGCTCCAGAAAGCTAGACATTGTCTCTCCAAACTCCAAGTCTTTTTTTTTTCTGATACACAGAGTTACTTTACACTAACATCATCCATTTTCAGTGAAACAGGATATTCTGTGCACAAGTACTGAGGAGACAAGTATCTCTGATTTCCTTCTCAATTTCAGAAAACAAAGTATTTTTGCTAACAATGTATTCTTTAATTTATAGGTGCATTCCCCTCTTTCAGACAAAAAAAATACTGTCACCAGGAGCAACATAGGTGCTAATGAACTACACCCCCACCTTTTTTGTTTTAATTGTAATTACCATATAGAATTAATATGCTTTGGATAATAACAACTCTCACAAAAGTACTTTGTGTACCTATGAAAATCTGTATCTATAAATAGTGTCATTTCTAGAGTACTGGGGCAGGAGGTATCTTCCTTACTCCAGCTAAATTAACCAATTATCTTGCTTGTCAATTAGCAGTCATTTCTTGGTATGCAATTTAGTAAGTTAACTGTTTTAACTTTCAGTTGGTCAATCACTGGATTTTAAGAGCAAATAACAAAATTCTCACATCTGTTGAAACACATTAAAACTACTAAAACCAATGAAAGAGAGTCCTTACTTGTGATCCATTAGTTTGGCTGATAACAGCATTGTTTGCAGTACTGAAAGGCAAGAACAATTTAAAACTGAGTCAGATCAACAAACTGCTTTTGCAGACTGATAGAACTGTAAAGATTTTCAGAAAGAAACAAGAAGACTAACAAAGATATTTTCAAAGTATTTAACTGTTCTCACAAAGAAAACTGAAAAACTTACACTTTAGGTCAGCTGTCTCATTCTATGTAGCTAAGGGTACCACATTATTTTTTACTTGTTCAAGCTGTAGTTTATCTGTAACTCATCTGTTTTTCCCTCTTCCTTGCCTTAACTAGTTTGGTTTAAAAAGCCTTCCTAATTCAGCAGTAAAGTGGGGCACATTTAAAGCAAAAATTATACAGTTTTAGTTAAAGTCCCAGCAAATACGACATTGTTTCAAGTTCACCTACATGCTGTAGATACTATGTTCCATAACTAGAACCCTTCTGATTTGAAGCTTCACATCACAAAGTTTATCACAAAAATTTATGAGTTTGTTCTGCATACAGAATGAACTCTAATGGACTTAAAAGCAGCTATTCAAAGTTTCGTGCACAGCAGCTCAGCACAGCATTAATAGTAATTCTATATTATTAAATATTTATTGTATTTGATAAATTAAATATCTATTCTTGATGATTTCTGAATCTGCAAGAGACATCTCACATTTTCAAGAGATTTAAAAGCATTATACCTTATACAATAACTATGCATTATAAATCATGCAAAGCAAACTTTCTCCCCAGACTTCTAATCTTCTAAAAAAAGGTTCCAATCTCCTACAATCCATTAATCTGCTGATTTGTGGTCTGGACAATAATTATCCAATCTGGCAAGGTGACAATTCAAACAGATTTCTGTATCTACTTCAGTGACTCTTTAGAACTATTTTATTTAAAATACCATAACATCAACACTGAACAAGCTGTTCCTTGTCTGTTCCCTACTTTGTCCCTTCTCTATTCAGAGAATGTGGAAGCTACCACAGAACAGTCCACATTTAACAGAAATATTAAGGAATGCCTTCTGGGTAGTACCTTCCCCTGTGCTGAGTTAATACAGAAGAATGGAACAACATACATCTTTCATGATGCATTTCAATTAGCAACACTGAAGTGTAGAGTTTCAGAAATGGCACAGCTTGCTGTGGAGACTAACAACAGTGCCACACCTAAGGTGCAGATCAGGAGACCGCAGTCTTATCAGAAGAAACTGCTCACGAAGTTTCTCTTTCCACTCTCAGAATGACCTAAGCAGCCTGAAACTCGGAGAACGGCTTGACAACATAGCATGATGAGAGTAGTCATTAAGCAAATAGTTGCATTTTGCAGCAGAGGATCTTTAAGCACTCTAATGACACCCAGTTTGGAAGAATACTTTCTCATTTTATAAAAATAAAAAACAATACAGGATGTCAAAGAGAGCAACTGTAGCCTTGTCCCCACACTTCTCAGACTTCTCCCCCTCTCATGCAAGAATCAACCCTCCTGCTACAAACAGAAAACGTTCAGCTGTATTGAGCATGATGTTTTGAAACGTTATTTTGACATTTCTTGCCCAGCTCGTCACGGTGCTTAAGATCTACGAGCACTTACTTTTTAAAAAATAATACGGTTGCAATTAATCACTGTGATGTTCACAAGTTATTAGGGCAAAGGACAAAAACCAGAACTGAGTGACTTAGTTCCTTCACTATCAGTGTTCTTAGTTCCTTTTTAGGCTTCATACCTTAAGGAAGGGTATGAAAACTGTGTGATTCAGATACATATGAGTAATTTACATTGCAACAGCAAGTATGAACTTACACATCCAGGAAGACCTTCGGTACAGAAATAAAGAACCAAAAGGCCTCCCACTTTAAATGCTGATCATGAATAAACATAAATACTAAAGTATATAAAAATAAATGCAAATATTGTATAGAATATAAAATCACTACCCTATTTCAAATATTTATTTTACTATCTTTTCTCTGTGACCTTCACTTGATGATGTATTTCAGTCACACAGCCAGAGTAGGCAGATTCCAGAAGGAAGACATTCTCACACACTTTTACCTGATCTCTTTACATGGCAGCACACAGAACTACAACTCATATCCAGCAAGAATCACAGCTAGTCATAAACAAACTTTTCTGTCTGCTAGTAAGCAAGTCTGGCAAAATTATCTATGTGATGACAACACAAGAGCTTTGCTTTGAACGGTGGTTTTTACGTAAAGCAAACAAACACAATACCCATGGCAAAATCACAGTTAAGAGGCTATCACTGTATATCCTCCTTCTGCAGACACATGCTCAAGTACAAGTGGCAAACATCAAAGAGAGAAACTCAAATACTGGAATGCACCTTACCTCGTTTCTTCCAGTTTAGCAGTGTGTGCTGCAAAAATATAAAGCGTTAATTAAAATTTAATTTATAATTAGGTTATTAATTAAATATTAAGTATATGATTAATAAAAATAACCTAGCACTGCCTAAAAGTAGGCAACCAAAAGAGTAAAAGTTGCATGCATCCCACATAAATCTGAAGAGCAAACCAAGGAGTCAGACTTAAGTAAGTGTCTGAAAGCAGACATGGCAGTCACACTTGACCTGTGCAAGAGTGGGAATAAGAGACAAAGTATCACATGCTGTCAGGTTGTGACAACAGACTGCAACCCCCAACAACAATGAAAAAAGCCTCAATGACAAAAATTTTTAAGTCTATTCATAAATTTCAAGTATTATCATTAATATATCACTGCTTCCTGGACCCAAGTTTTCCATCTTCATACTGAGACCTACTGTGCAATCTTCACGGGTGTTTTACCTGAAGAGCAAGCTGGAATGACATGCTTTAGAAACAAGTTCTTTCTAATAAATACACATGGTCTCCTAAATAAGTAAAAGAAAAACTAATTTTGCAAATTCAAGAGAAGGGCAAACAGCTACAGAAGGATTCCTACACAGAACTTTTAAAGGAGATGATTACTTGATTCTCACATTGGATTATACTTCTCAGGATGGAAGTTCTTTTACCTTTCATTTGTAGGGTTCGTCTTGAATATCTCTTGCTGGGCCGTCTTTCAAAGGATGCTGATCTCCTGGCTTTGTTGGTCTTGGTGGTTTGATATTCTGTTTTCCCACTAAAAATGCCATGCAAAAGTATAAAGCAATAAATCACTTATTTTTTCAATTTGTAGCCTAATATCTGATCTCAGTTCTATTAAAACACCCCAAAATTCACACCTCAAAGGGTCTTTCATAAAAGAGGGAAAGAGTTTTACAAACATTCTAATATTCACCCCATTTTCCTAAGACAAATGGTTGTAGTAATGACTCCTTAAACCTTAAGCTGTTCATAAAACACGCTTGCCCTTTGCATATTTCTGTGGTCACAGTGCTTGATGTTTGGGAGAGCCTGAACAATGCTAGGAGAGAGTACAGCTTAAGTAATGTTGCTGAAGGTCATAAAGAAAGATGATAATAGGACTAAAAAGCAGCATCTAGATGCTCATGTTCCCAGATAAGTATTTCTTTCCAAGTTTGGCCAGACTCTACCCCCAGGTCAGCAGCACCCTCATGTTCTGCTGACTCCTCAGTACCACCGATCTTTTTTGAAAAGACTACGTGGTATTGCTACAGTTGCTGGAAATGGAAGAAAAATATATGCACACTGCCTGGGGTCACACCCCATCCCCTTCCACATGTTCTCACCAACTCTGCTGGGGAATCAACACCGTCCTGCAGGCTACTCTGGAATCACAAGCCATTCCATAGACTGTTACCTGCACTAGGTAGTGCCTTACACAGAACAGGCATTATCTGAGGCTTTTGAAGCATTACCATGCCTCAAACAGCTGGGAACTCAGGAGTCAAAAAACTTGCAATGTCCCCAGCTGTGCAAGTTAATCATCCATCCTCTATGGTACGTTTAAAAAAGTGTGGCCTTCCAAGATAAAGTCATCTATGAAACACAATGTACTACATATAAGGAATATAAACCTTGAGAAATCCATATGATTTAATAAACCCAATAATACAACTCACTCAGCTTGCAAGTTTCACTGTCCTAGATGAAAGAAAACCAAGTATCTCCCCTGTTTTCCTGCATAATCCAAGAACAGCAGTAACTGACAGAAGAGACGTGCTAAATGACAGACCACACCAACCTGTATCGGAACCGAGACCCCAACCGGATGAAGCCTGATCGACTTGAGCTCTTTTGGACAGGACCTCGGAGCCGGAAGAAGGCATGATGTTCCACTGCACATTTCCACAAGTGTTTGCAGGCTTTGGGATGATCCAGTCTAAAGACAAAAGTGTGCTCCTGCTCCTTTCCCTTAAAGCACATAAAGCACACTGACGACTTACAAAGGGACTAAATGAGTCAAAGCTACTATTCCATGCAACCCCAATAAAATTTGGGTCCTATGAATACTGAAATATATGTTTAAAAATATTTTAGGCAGAAATATCAATTTTTTCAGAAGCTTTAATGAACAACTGCTTCGTTGTCCAAAGTCGGAAAGGGCTAGGGAGTCCATATATTTAAGAAGTCAAACCTCTGAATAACTACAAATTAAAGACACCATTACAATAGGAAGGTATTTCTCAATCAGGCTAACATGGTTTTACTTCCAGATTGGATCTCCTCAAATTACCAATGCTCATTTTTTTATTGTCTCCGCTCTATGCAATTTCTTTCCCATGGGAACAATTCTGGAACCTGCTTAAGGAATTAATTCCACTAAATGTGGTACATGGCCTTTTTCTAAACTTTTTTGTGCAATGCACACTCTTCCCAAAGTATTTGATCTAGTTTCACAAGGCATTCCACTTTGAAAAACAGGTGAGAAAAAAAGTAATTAAGTCCATTTATTTTTTACTTAAGTCCCTTCATTTCCCGCCTCCCCCACCAAGTCACATTAAAAAATCTCGCAGGCATCCACCTTAATTCTCAGAAATTAAATATAGAGATCAGGAGTATGTAAACTAGTGCTGTATAACTAAGACTGAGATACAACTAAACAGATACTTATCCACCTGTTCATCATCTTCAACAACAACCAGAGTGAGTTTGTTTTTCTTGAAGTCAAGCCTTGTTATCTTTGGCCTGCAAGATGAACAGAAAGTGCAGGTTACGTCTAACTCTCTTAGGAACTCACTGAGAAGGTACCTAATATTCACAGTGCTCTCATATCCCAAACATAATTTTTTCTTCTGTTATTGCAAAAAACCACAAAAGAGTAAAAATTTAAAATACATTTTAACATACATTAAAGAGCTTACCAGAAAAACAAACCAATCTTTGTGTCTCCTTCAAAGACAAGAACTCCTGTAGGTGTCAGTCCCAGGCTGTAATCATTGCCATCTCTTGCCTAATTGCCAGAAAATACAGATTATATTCATTTTGGTGTTTGACCCTTTATCCAATTTACTCCAGTGGATCATGTAGTTTATTTGCCCAGTGTTACAATTACACACTTATCTGCTAATAAAACAAATCCCTCATGTTTCGATGATCTCACGCATTGAATTTCTCCTGTTTACAACTCTTCGATAAGGTTGACTAAAGTGGAAAATTAAAGTTTCTTGATTTGTCTGTGTAATAAGGACCTCCTTATGCAGTTCATTGCACTTCCTTCTCCACAGGAGATCTATTTTTACTTGTAGTTCTTCAACTGGCAGCTGATTGGACCCCAGCCAACTTTAATTACTAGGATTTTTCACAAAACTCTTAGTTAAATACAAACTGTAGCACATATTGCCACACCAATCACATATTTAACACAGAGCAGATATGCCTGGACTAGAGATACCCTCTAGAAATGTATACCAGAGAGTGTAATGTTGACACAAAGCCAGATCACTTGTTGCAGAGATTGCATGAGTACAATATTCCCTTTTTTCCCCCGTCAAAGTAAAACCCGTGTTGAAATGCAGCACAAAGCCAACATTATCATTTCCAAAGGTCACCATGCTGTGGCTAAACATACCTTGACTATGTGCATGTCTACACCATACATTTCCAGCCACTTAGCTTTGTTTAAGTAGTTAGTTTCAGCCTGCGCTGGTGTTTGTCCCCTGAAATAAAATTTTTGCTGTTAGGAAGGTGCCTGAAAAAGCCAGAAAGGAAAAACTGGTATATGAGAAAAGAGGAAAAGAACTTTGCAAAAGTTTGTGAAAAACCTAAACACTGCTGACACTTGTATGCTGTCATGAACACCACGGTCACTTCTCTAAGTTTTAATCTGGAACCGCAGCTGCAAAAGTTCCTGCATTTTAAGGTTTTGCACCTCATCATTTTACTCAGACCTTTGAAAAGCTTCATTTTTCACATTATATCCACTTACAGAATATGACAGAACCATATTAAAATTATGTTTCTGAACAAAACCACATAAGAAAAGTCAGCAGCATCTTTTTAATACATTATTTTCACAGAAAAATCAGTGCAAACAGCTGGGTAGCATTCACTGGAAGATCTAGTACCTGCATTCCTTCCACTTCTCAAAAACAGCTAGTTCCATCTCTTCAGTCTGAGTGGGAACAAACCTGAACTCAGACACCAGTTCAGGGACATGTTCAGCAGGATCATAGTCTCCAAGTTCAGCTACAAAAGAACACCATGGTTAAACACTGTTCCCAACAGACACAGTGGATATTTCTGCATACAGTGGAACTTCTCTAGTTAATCTAAAATACTAAATTTCTTCTTGCATTCCTCCTTCTCCTCCAGTTCTCCTTATTTTTGAAGTGTCACCATCTTTGACAGGGAAATTATGGACACTGAACAAATGGCTGTGTGGTCTGCACAAAAGCTTTGTGTTAATTTTTACTAAGTGCTACTGACATATTCCTTAACAAGCTTCCTATAAAGAAAATTTATCACCATCCTTGAAACTCACCTTTTTTCTGTCTTGCAGAAAGTTTTCAGCATTTTAATCACTGAATTATCTACTGAGATGACAGCTGACTAAAGTTGCAATGGAATTTTGCCTTAAGTTATTAAAAAAACAAATCTCTTGAGATTTATAAAATGCAAAACCAGTTCTGACACTTTTCATAAAACTATCTGTCCATTCTAAAGATCAGTTTCTGGTTTTATGATTCAATATCCCCATCCTGCTAAAATTACTCTGTGTCAGGGCACAGTCACGCAGCTGTTATTAGTCGCTCTCCTTTTCATCTCAGAACATAATAAATGTCCTACAGGGTCAGTCAAATGGTTCATCTAGTCCACTGCTGCATGCTCAGAGGGGCACTGAGAGATGCTATTTACAGAGCATATTGGAACATACTAGTCAATGGGTGTGCCACATCAAAAGCACCACCTCCATTTTCCACAGATGTGGAAAGTCCAGCTTTTAAAGACAGATATCTGCCTAAATGCTCAAACTCACAGCATTTATAGTCTTGATAAAAATAGTCTTGATATTCAGAGTCACTAAGCACTTGCTCCTCGCACTGATTTTAAGTTGCTTCTTAATGTTCAGCTCATATCAAAAAAATTAGGAATAATTCTGTAATTTGAAGCTTGGGAGTCTGATACAGGCCAATAACTGCTCTCTCTGAAAAAAGGAACTACAGATGTCTGTGTAGGAAAAAAAACCAGACATCTTAGTGAAGACCTGGAGAAGTCAAATAAGTGCACACAGTATTCCATAGGTACAGAAGTGACAAATGATCTAAAACCCTGTTTCTTGGATTTCTGAACACTGCAAGCATAATAATAGTCTTTTCACCTCCTCTTTTTTTTTTTAATGCTGACTGAGGAAGCCTGTAGTTCTATAATAATTTACTCCCACTAAAATGCCTGCCTCTGTTGAAAGGAATGCTGTCAAAGCCAGCTTAGGTTCCAGCTGATTTAAATAAAAGTACACAGCTGTCAGACAGTAAGATTAAAGCCCTGCTACGGACCTCATTGTGGAGAGAGGAAAGAAAAGACCAGCAAAAAAAGCAACGGACATATGGCCTAATTAGATCACTTTGTTTTTCCAAAAACTTCTTCACTGAACCTGTATCTTAAGGTTCTAACAATGCTAATTTTTAACCATGGAATGTATTCTAACTGTTTTTCTTCTGCACAAAAGAGCAGGTTAAAAAGGCAGGTAGCTTCACAGTTTAGTCCCAGCTCTCTATACCTAAACATGATCAGGGCCATTAGGAGCTCCTGCCTGAAAAAAAAAAAAAGTGTTTTGGAAAATACTTGTAACAGAAAGAATTTCAGTGATTTAGTTCTGTTACCTAACTCCTGCAGAGTAAGTACAACAGTGCATTGATTTATAAGATGAATGTGGTGTAGAGAATTTGTGCAGCACAAACACATGGCACATCTCCAAATTGCCTCTTCATCAGACAGGACTGTACGTCAGCTTTACAGCAGAGGTTCCAGGATTTTTTGCAGACTCAAACTGGGTTGAATAAGGCCATATATCTATATCCTCCAATAAGGACCCAAAAGCCTACTCTAGCAGACACTTGTAAAACTTCAAGCCACTTTCTTTTGTGAGCTTTCCTGCTTTAAACCACAGCAAACTTCATATTTGTTAAAATCACACCCTCATCCAAACAACAGAAGACACTGGCCAGGAAGATCAGTGATGTAGAACCTATAAAAGCAACTTAGGGTCAGACACAGCTCTCAGCAAAGCCATGGATGCTGGATTCTCAGCTGGAATCAAGAGTTAAAGACAACTCATTAGTAAGTCTCAGCTGGCTTGAGCATGGTGCAGTACAGCTGAGAAAAAAGACTGTATGTCACGTCTTGTGGCTGAACAAGGGTCTGAAATATCAACAAGAGCAGTTCAACCGTGAATGCTCAAGTATGAGCATGAGACATGCGGCACTAAGATGTTCCTACAAATAAGCTGAAGTCAAAATCTGACATTTTACATACGGGACTTTTCAGCCGAGTGCAGAACAAAACCAATTTTGTACCTCATTTGGACAACAAAAAATACAACAAAAAAAATCGTACAATGAAATAAAAGTGAGCTGTGTTACTACATCAAAGCAATTCAGGAAGACTGTAGACCTCATAACTCATGTGAAAGTGGACAGGTTTGCACAAAAGCACTCGAGAAAACAAGTTTAGGGCAAAGCTGTTTATTTTCTGAACCTCCTTGTTCTGTTTCAGAGAAATTGAATAATTTTCTGCATATGCTCTCAGCACAGCCACAATCAAAAAGAGCTGTGTTTCACACACTATTGTCTGGGCAGAATCTATTTTCTGTATTTAACAAGGACAGATTAAAAGAGTTAATAAGAGCTGCTCATGAAACTTCATCCTTCCCCTCTCGTACCTACTCACCTTGCATGTTATAAGCTGCCAACTGGACGGCTGTGTCAAAAGGACATTCCAATCTGCCGTAAGAAAAATGCATTGTTAAAGCCTGAACTGACATTATTTAGCAGACAACTTATATAACTGACAGTAATGTTTGCGATAAGAAAATGAAAAAGAATTAGTAGATTTTCAACAAATTAACAGGAAACAAGCATTACATTATTTAAGCATTCCTCTGCTGATATTCATGCATAGAAAAGTAGTATTTTAGAGAAAAAATAACATTACTAAGAAAAACTTACTAATTATCAAATAAAAGTTTAATAAATTCCATGCTAGACACACTGTATTGTTTAAAAGGCTGCTTACTTTCCACTAAGAATATCCAGTTTCAGCTGCAGAACAAATAAATACCTGCAGGATTAAATAAGAAATAAGTCATTGACTAATAGTTTTAATATGTCACTCAGCCAACAGGAGTAAGTTAGAGCTTGACAAATAAAAATGTTTTCTACTCTTTACATGGGTTTTCAAGACTATAGAAACTGTACTATGACCTTTCAAGGCTCATCAGTTGGGTTTGTGTGTTTTGCATGGATTTCAAATGAAGGAAACCCAAAATGAGAAGTTGTCAAAAGCTGAACTACAGTGTTGCATCGAAAAAGAAACAGGATACCCAAGTAAATATTATTTTTTTCTCTTTTGTTCCTACTTGGGCAAAACCCGACTTGCATCTTCCGCATTTCCTTCATTATTCATAGACATACCAATCTCATAAGAGAATGGTTATTTTAAAGTCTCTCAAAAATAAATGCTTCTAATAGGGATTGCTCAGTTAAAATCTAACCCAAAAAACTGACTGCAAAGTGAGAAAAAATAAAGAGTAGGTTGTGGCCTTTCCAACTTTTTACTGTTTAGAGCCAGCTTTCCTTCATTGCCTTGCTTATTCTGTACTCTTCTCACTTAAAAATTGGGCAAATATTGAATACAAATGCCTTTAGTGTGCAACACCAATTCTTCCAATCCAATACCCACAAAGAGCAGCTCCTTTGCTCCATTATAGTACCCAGCCTTCCTCTAACAAGAGAAGAACTCTCATCGAGCATAAAGCACTGGGATCTGTGACGGTATCCACTTTGAATTCTAGCACAGATGCCCAGAAGCCTTACACAACACCAAAGACAATGCTTCTGCTTCAACATGTGCTTGTGTCTCATACTTACACACACAGACACAAAACAGATGCAGGTGTTTTTCCTACAGGTCCCACAGAAATTCACAAATACTTTGCCAAACCATTTATATTCCAAAGCCTTTTGAACACTAGCCCCTACATGGGGAATACACTTGTTTGGTACTGACCCTAGATATCGAAAGAATGAGCACAGTGTACAGTGGGTGTGACCAGTATGTGCTTATCAGCCACATAACACTTGCAAACAATTCAAGCACTTCCCATGCTGTGTTACATGACCTCTGACTGGCAGCACCTGAAGGGAAGCTGCCACAGAACATGAACAAGCTGCACCTTGGAAGCTGAAAACTGGCTCCAGCTTGGTGTCCTGCTGCACAAGGGTGGAACCCTCAGAAAGGCCCCAGTGACAGTGATACCCCATAGCAAAGCTCTGCTTCCCACTGCTTCTGCTTCTTTAAGGTGTCAAACTGTCTCAAGACAGAAGGAAGACTTGCTCTCCTGTTCTGGGGGGATTAGCTAAGCAGGCAGACAGGGTTTAAAAGCCCTCAGGTTTCAAGTCTGCCCTGGTAAAACCTGTATAGCAAAGTCTGACTGGCAGAACTCAGTCAAAGCGAATGAAAATATTTCATAGTGGTAGATACAGATGTAGGTCCGAATTTTGTTTACAGTTACTGTTTTTAAAGAGAGTTAAATGTTTATTTATTAACATGAATGGGGAAGTAAAACATTCTTCTCAGATCGGCAGGAAAGCATTAAAAAGCAGCAGTTATCACATTATGTTACCACATGTAAATATGAAGTTGCAAAGGGTACATATGGCTGTAAGGGGTAATGCTACTATAATCTTCCTGGTAGCACTCTCAGGGATTTGGCTAAAGTGCAGATCGAAGATCCACACAGACATAAACCTGAACAACAAACAAATACATTTCATGCCCTTACAAATGGCTTAGGGTATTAAATGTCCACAGCTATCACAAAAACATAACTTAAGGGATCAGCAGCAGTGGCAATAATACAAGGAAACATCACCTTTTATAATAGATTTATACTGCAGACAGTTTGTTGTATTCTCTTTCAAAATACCCCAAGTATGTCTCAGTCCAACAAGAAATGCAGTACTACGAATGGATCTGTAAAGTGCTTTAATCAAGAGAAACTGCTGCTTACCTGATATTACAACCCTACACATACAGTACTGTCAACTCACTTGTCAACATGGCAGTAAAACACTATTTTCCCTTTCCATAAACTCTACAAAGACCACACAAGCAATGAAATGCTCACTCAACTTTTGCCAAAGAGAATCTCTAACTTGCAATTCAATGCTTTTCTGCCTAGAGACAGGATGACTGCATGCAGTTGAAACTAAATACAGCTTAAGAAGAATAAAGACAGAGCAGTAATGTCTGTTCTCTTCAGTAAAAACCTCTGTCCATTGTGTACAAGCTACTCAGATCAGTTGCCAAAATTGTCTAATGAAAAACAGTGCATTAAGTAATATATAAATATTTAGTGCTCTTTATGTCACAGCTCATTCATTTCAAGATAGGTACATTACAAAAAGAGGGCAGCATTTACAAAAAGCCAAGTTAGCAAGCAGCTCTAAGGAATTCTCTGAAACATCATACAACTGTTTCAATAAGTACCACAAAGCATTTCCCTGGCCTTATTTGGGTACCTCTCTCTCACATAAAATCCCTCTTACCTTGTTAGCTCTTCACGTAGATTATTGGGCTCTGATGAGTAAAACTTTACACGAAAATGCAGACAATACGGTGGGCCAACTGCGAAGCAGAATTCATTCAAGACAGCAGTAACAGTTACTGGATGAGACATGTCTATTACACAGAATCACATCACAAAACCTGACTGAAATTGGTTGGCTATGTCCTACCACAAAGTCTTAAGGCAGGAATTCCTTTGTGACAGGGAAATCCATGAAGAACATCAGGGTGAAAGGACACAAATATGCACATGAAATAGTTTTAAAAGTTACAAGTCAACCCAACAGTCATATCACATTAACTTGACTCATCCTGCCAAGAGTACATGAATCTAGGTTAATCCCTATATTTAAGGACTATCCATCACCAAGAAAGCTGTGCATCTCGGCTCTGCAGTTGACTAAAGCCTCAGGCACGCTGTTGGTCTCTGCAACACCTTCCCAGGGCTCTGGAAAATACTCACTGCTGACATCTCAGGCCCTTCTATTCCACAGAAGTTTAGACATATTTTATGGGGACTTAAGAGATCCTTCTACTGAAGAATCATCTTTTCTGGAAAGCAAAGAGTTAATTCAGCAAAAGGATGGATTAACAGCTCTTTAAAAATGTGCAGCGCTCTGCTGATTCTTGCATTTGACAGGAGGAATTTCTCTCTCAGTGCTTCCAAAACCTCTGTTGTATTAACACAGCACCACAAGTCCCTGGAGACTTCCCACAGTGCACAGCAAGGAAACTGCTAAACAACAATCAGCCAATGCCACAGCACACCCAAGCCACAGCACTGAAACAACCAGGCCACACTAAAGGCTTGTGCAGCAGGTAAGTACTTGGTGGACTGAACACAGATTCGGGCATTCAGGACTGCTCCAAGGGATGGAGGCTCCAAGACACATTTTCCTACACTCAGGATAACAACCTCTAACACTAAAACATCTTCAGCTGTCTTGACTCCACTTTAACTATAATTAATAAGCCTATAACATGTTCAATTAAGAACATTAGAATAAAGCAATATGAGCTACAGAGGGAAAAGGTTAATAAACAATCAGTAGCGTCATGCGGGGCTTTTGTCACTGGGTCTCATCACCCCTCACAGGACACTGCCCCCACCACCCATTCCAACTCTGTGCTTCCTGTACGTCAAGACCCCAAGAGAAAATGGAAAGGACACTTACTTTTAACTTGCTTTTTAATGCTTTTTGTGTTGTCCAGCCAATGCTGAAAAATAAATTAATTTCACTGAATTATCAACAAAGAATTGTCCCAGAAAGAACAAAAAAGGAAAGAAACCCCTATTTGTTAGTGAAGACCATCTTGGAATAACAAGTAGTTTGTTAAAACCATCTAATCCAAATCTATTACAATTCACAGCTCTCTCTGTGCTCACTGAAGATTCTTTCGCTCAAAGTTTATAATGCAAAATGTCAGTTTTGAACAACATCCTGTAGTACCTTATTTAAAGTCAGTTCTCGAGAATGTGTTTTCTACTTAAAAGAAAAGAAAACCATTCTAACAAACCACTTCACTAAAATTTTCATCCTGTCCAAACAAACACTTAATTCACACGTTAGTAGGTCAGCCAGTGACAATGTGCAAGAGAGGCATAAATCATAGCTGGAGACTCTGGCACTCAGTTGTGTGTGATGTTTACTTGAGGCAGGAAGGGGAGAGACAAAATAAATATTGTTGGCTTCCAGGCATTTTCTTTAGATGACTCAAGTGCAGAAAAAGCAAAGCCATCTATGTCCCAACATTAGGCTCAGCTCTACCTAATTCTCGAAAATCTATTCACAAGTGACATTTTAGCAACTATTATGAGAGGACAGAAGTTACTGCCTCACCTACTAATGCTAATTATAAGCTATATACTACACATGAAGCCAAAATAATGGCCTCACTTCTACTGTGTACGACAGCATGAGAAAAAGAAGCTATAGATGGCACATTGAGAGAAACACCTACACATATACACTGTGCTTCCCAAAATAATTGTATATTATCACAGTGCTGGAGAGTTTACCCCAGAAGTTAAAGCTGGAAATCTAACACATGGCTAGTGGGAGAGATCTTCCCAATGCTGTGCATGGCCAACAGCTCCCTCCTCCAAAGGAGGTGACTCAGTTAAACAGGAAACACAGCACCCTAATTCAACATAATTGCATTGACTCAACAGCCAGAGCAAACTGCCTAACACACCATGTCCTGCATAGTTCACCATGCCCAGGGAACACCACCTCATCTGATCAATCCCAAATGTCACCTTGCAACTAATACAGATAAATTATATACTTAGCAACACTCCTTTTTTTAAACTATGTGCCATGAAGTTCACAGAGGGCCCCATAGAGGACAGAAAAGCAACAGTAGTATGAAAAAGAACCGGTATTTTCAGGTTGCAATGCCAAGTGCAAACACATTCCTGTCTTCAGAACAGCCCTGCCTTCTGCAGAGAGTGTGTGAAGTCAGCCTGTAATACAGCCGGGATGTGCAGTGATTGCTCTATTAGCTGCAGATCAGAACAACTGAACCATCTGCTGCTGCTGTGCACACAGTTGAAAATGCTCTCATTACCTATTAAAACAAAGTGGCTACAGAAAGCTATCTGAAATGTATCTAATAAATTTTTTAAATAAAGCAGGAAGCTAAAGGAAGAATGAAGTAAATATTTACGTCTATTTTGCTTACACTACCAGGGAAATGAAGTCGAATGATATTTCTCTCTTTCAGAAGATCATAATCTTTTTTCCTATTCCATTAACTCTCTGTAAGAGACAGCCTGCTTACTCCTTCTTCCACCACAAAAATATACAAACTACCAACTTGGAGGCTTGCAGGTGATTTAGATGCAGGAATGACAAAGAGAGCCCTTTCTAGGCTCCAGGACAGGCTGTGCCCGCCTGTTTCATCTCCCTCCCGTTTTCTCTCATCTCCTCCACATTCCATGGGAAGGCAACCAAGAGGCCCACGACAGGCACCGATAGCACTTCATTCTGCTCGGCTCCTACCACTGCTGCTCACAGGAGCTCTGTCTGAATGGTGAGGGTGTGCACGAAGAAGGGAAACAGAACTGATTTAAAATGGGGGTGGGGGTGAAACAAAAAAAAACAAACCACCAAACCAACACAAAAGTGAACAGACACAGACGTCAAGAAATTTGAGATTTATTCTAAGTGATTAAAATGGAATTCAAGTGGACCTGGCAAAAAAGTTTACTTTTGATGAGAGTTTGCTCAGCACAGTCTACTGCTGAAATCCAGAGATAAAGTTTGCTAAACAGAAGGCAATACAAAGAACAGACTGCACAGGGTACTGGAAGTCCTTACTAAAATAGTTTGCTGCTGCAGAAATTGAAAAAAAAAATCACATTAAAAAAAAATAAAATCAAAATCTCAACCCAGCAAGGGTTTTCAAGAAGTTTGTGTAAATGAGGTTTGTTTAATAAGACAGTGAGGCTAAAACTGGTCCCATACTTTATGGAATTAATGGGTTCATACTTAGCGCAATGCTATGCAAATAATTTTCAGCATTAAGCACTACATCAAAAAAAACTGCAAGAGTAACAAACCAATGTGTTGTAGAATTCCATCAGGAAAAGCAAGTACCTCATGGTTGCAACCTGTGGGTTTGCATTAGAAATTTGCTTGAATGTTCAGTGCCTCTTAAGCACTAGAACACCTCTCAAGCATTGCTGGAGGAAAAGTCCAATAGCCCAACAAGTTACCAGGAATCTTCATCTTTTGCATCACTGGACATGCTGCACTGTTCACTGTAACTCAAATTAACCTGTTCCCTTGGCTCCCAGACCAAGTCTGATATATGGTGGATATTGCAAACAGCTCTTTTTGCCATCTCCTGCCCATTACTTGGAAGAAGGAATCCATTCCTAACCATCAGACTACAAAGAACACAGAAATCACAAGAAAACAACAATTCTTTCATTCAATTCAACTAACTGTTTCAAGAACTTCTTTAAAAAAGCTATTATTTGAATACTAAAATCCAAAAAGTCAGGAAGAGTTTATACTGTGTTCCCCCCAAGCCCCAGTGCATCATAAACTCAAACTAGTGACTACTTCAGTAGCAGAAAAGAAGAAAAAAAAAAAGCAATCCTTTAGTGTTCAAAATGGATCTATTGAAAACTCATTTGTAGTCAAAACAAGTGGGAAATGTCTCAAATTTTTGTTTAACTACATGTTGCTAGTTTATGTCAGCAAGTGTAACCTAGTTCAGTAATATATTTAGATTTAAATGGGGTAGCAGAAAGATTAACTCCTTCAGAGCTAGTGGACAATTCTGTCCACAGTAAGGACTTGGTTCTTACACTGTTTATTTAACAGGTCTCCTGAATAATCTTTGACAAGTCACTTGATTAGTCTCTGTCTTTGTTTCCAGCTGCAGACTGGGTTTCTGCTAGAACTCGCCAGCTCCTCTTTGCAGGAATGGCTGCTATCGCAACAGTTCTTCATTTCTCAAAGCAATTAATTATCTCTGGCTGTTGCATTCAGCTCTTCTGGCAAAATCCAGTCTTTTCTGCTTCGTTATACACAGTACATCATTAAGGTCCAGTTTAAACAGATTGTTATCTCTACTCTGCTGCTTTTCAGTCACAGATAGATAAAAAAAGGAAGCAAACCAAGCTCGAAATCCCCTGTACCTGGTAGACTGTGCAGTATCAAATACTTGATCAGGTGCTGTCAGGACTGGAAGTAACAATTTGCTGGACAAAAGCAAGCCAACAGCCATTGCTGAGACAGAAAAGATTAACTCTTATTTCCCCATTTCAAGATGCAATGGCCTTATTTGCTAACATCAGTAGGAGAAAAACATTTATCATACAGATAGTTTCACCAGTTAAAACTAACCCACTCTATGAGATCCTAGAGATGTGGAAATACTTCAGAAGACAGGATACCTAAACCATACAGGTACAAAAAGATAAATGCAATGGAGTCATTCACTATCAAAACCCAACATCCTGGACTGTGTAGGCTTAACAAAATTAACATGATTTTTATAAATATAAAATGGTGTGCAATGAGCTGTTTTCTCATTTCTATTGGTATGCATGGTTCTGAATGCCATCCCTCCACTACTGTAGTGGTCTTTTCCTCCTTAGTGTTAAATGTCTCTGTTCTGCAAGAGGTTTAAGATCAGTTTTCACTGCTGGGAACTTCAGCCCAGCAACAGCTAATCCCACCAGCCATTAGTTTGCTTCAGATCTTGATCACCAGTGATCTTCTCTAAAGAGAATGTTCTCTACAATTACAAGCTAAATATAAAATCTGATCGCTTCTTTGAAAAGAAGCCACCAGGTTATAAATGTGTTTTGGGGCAGTGTACTGTGTCCAAAGCTTCTTTCAAAGATTCAAGTTTGTGGAGTTTTCTGCCATTGTACAAAGCTGTAATACTTATGAGATCACCTTCAAATTGTTCTGGACATGGACCTTCACATAAGTAAAGGAATATAAGTCACTACCTCCATTTTCTCTGCTGACCTTGAACAATTCAGATGTTTGGCTCAGCAGAAACCGCCTGTGCTTCCCCTTTGCCATCCTAATCATGAAATAACTCTGAAGTGTCTTTGAAAAACAGAAAATGTTAGGTCATAGATCTAACAAATAAGATTGACATATACAGTATGAAAACTCAGATCTCATTCTACCTGGGGATGCTGGGCTAAGTGAATACAGGCTTAAGTTATAGGGATGCAGGACAGAGAAAAAACCGCTCCTTGCCTAACAGCTCACTTAATTTGGAGCTATCCTTGTGGGCAGGATTAAGTACTTGGCTCTAAGAAGAATCTATATAAAACTGCACAGCCCCCAGGTGAAAGAACTGTGGTTGTTTCTGACAAACAATGCTCTGCTTCTGTTGTCAAAACCCTTTACATTTTTACAAACACACAATAAAACACAATCAAATGAGGGCTTGGAAGAACCCTCTACTCCAACTGTCTGGTACATACAAACACACCTATATCCTCCCAACAGTTTCTAGCTGCAGGTCTGAGTAACAACTAATTTGAACAAATCAAAGGTATACCCCTCCTGCAAGCAAACATTAACAGGATGACTTTTGCTGATGAGAACGTTGATGGCATTGGCAAAGGAAACCTTTCTCCACTCTGTAGAACAACAAAGAGCCAAGCACACACTCTAGTTCTGCCCCTTTCTCTCTGCATCAGCAGCACCACGAGTTTCTACATGATGCCAGGCTCTGGGGTCCTGCTGGACCAGCCTGCCCAGTGACAACAGGAGGTGTGACAGAAACACGCAAAAGACAAGAAAGGAAGAGACAACAGCATTGTAATTTGTTAGTGCTGAAGGTGGAATTAAACTCAGGGACACTGAAACTAACACACCATAAAGCTTCTGCACAAAACCTAACTTGCAAAAGGCAGCTTTCCTGTAGGATTTCTGTCAATATTAAGATTTAACTTTTAGACTGTTGCTTAAAAAAAGAGCATTGCTACTCACCGCCACTTGTGCAGAATCCATGAACCTTAATCCAAAGTAGTCACTTTCTATAAGGTCCAGATGATACATGATCTGTTCAAACAGCAGCTGGCCTTTGGCTTTTTTCTGAAAATATAAAAGGTTTAAGTACTCATCAGGCAGGTTTATTGTGGTATCTACCTTCTTCTAGATATACTTTCTATTCTAATTCCAGTAGTAGGAGAATCACAAAATTTAGCTTCGGAAAATACAATATGGACCTTTTTTCCCCCTCATATTTTTTGATGGCTGTTTTTCTTAAAGGCAAATGTACACCCCACAGGAAGCACAACAGTGTTAAAATGCCATTTTATCATTTTCCCTCTTAGGATCTCCTTACTCACTGAAATTCAACAGAACTGGAAACACTGCTAGTACAATTGCAATAACTAATGCCATGGAAAATTTTCAGAGCCAAGTACAGCAAATTGCTTATGAATTTACTACTGTTTGATATCTAGGCAATTCACCAGTTTTGAAGCAGGTAGCAAAGCCTATTGAATTAGGATATAGCATTCCATTAGCAAGTGCTTTTAACAGTTACCAGGAAATAGTTTGGGGCAGGCAACTTGAACAAATAGTACTTAGATAACACATTTACAAAACTAAGTTCATAAAACTCACTTCTAGGTGCAAAAGCCACCACATATGCTCATACATAATTTATGAAAAAACTTAGGCCTGGCCCCCAAGGAAACATCATTTTTACAGTGATGATCTAAAAAATTAAGCAGTTCTTTTTAAAGAGAAGGCATATAAGTAGCACCAAGAAGTTTCTACACAGTATGCATTTTTCATGCTATGAACTCTTTTATAGCAATAAACAGAAAGAACAGTTTAACAGTTATACCTAAGATGCCTAAACGTAATAAAATACATTAATAAATTAGTAAGTTGGAGTACAAGTCACGGTGTTGAAAAGAAATATTTTTAAATGCAAAGAAATGCAGAAAGGATTTATGCTTACTCTGCAAGAAGCTTAAGGATTCCTTTATTTCCATAATGCTATCATCTTGCAATCTTTTTATCCTAATATTTATACATTCACAACTTGAGAAATGGGCTTACTTTCTAAGCATATTTTTAGTGAGCAACTAATTAGCAGATTTAGTCCAACTCTCAAAATTCTGGGTCAGCCAAATTCATATTCTCAGAAACAATCAGGTTTAATCAGCAAGTAATATCTAAGTAAGTAAAGTTGCATGTGTAATTTTTGCCACCTTCCTCTACCCTGATCTTCAAACATTTTATATTTAACTTTGCAATCCTAATCACTGGTTTACTTCATGCCTCACTTAAATCCAACATGATATATCACAGTTCAAAGGAAAATATAAAAACAAGTCTGTAAACTGAGCCTGCCTAAGCAAGTTCTCACACAGTTATTTATTTCCAAGTATTGGGGAGAACAGGGGGAATAGAAGGGAAGCATACACACAGAACCCAGAAACATTGTGCAATGAAAATACTGAGATTTTGGCCTAATCAAATTTGTTCAGGGCAAGTTTTTTCTGTTCACCTAAGGAAAAAAGTACTTTTCAGGCAATAACAGATTAATTAAACACCAGCAAGAGTCTCCTAACAGAAGCCCTAAGGCAAACCATATATATATGTAAATCCACGCTTTTCTTCCACTATTTGAGTCTGTTGCCTGTCTTTACAGACTAAGACATTGAACTGTTCATATTTTTCCTCAGCATAGGGTATCTTCTGCTTAAACAAGAATATATACTAATACAAATGAAATAAATTCAGCACTTGCCACAGTAACACTAGAAAAACACTGTTCTGCATGAAGCTCTCTGCAGCTTGTCTAAAACTAGTGGAAAATCTGCTCTTATTGAGCAAAATGCTTTGGATCCTTCTCAATTCCTCAATAGGTCATCTTTTAAAACTGTAATTAACCAGCTATCTCAGCCAAATTCCCTGTTGGTGACAGAAACACTTTGACTCATGCCTGGAATACTGCACATACTATCTCAGACTACCAACAACTAGAACCAAATTTCTGTAGCATCAAGTTAGTTTCACAGTGTGTTCACCATTTCGGTCATCTCAGCAGAGGACTTGAAGATTAAGTGGACCCAGAATAACTAATGTGGGAGAAAGTCCCTGAAGAAGCATTGAATCGGCTGTGGAAAGATTTCCAAGGCTACTTGTTGTTTTCTGACTTAAATCACCAGGGCTGTCAACATGGAGTTCATCATGTACTACTCTGCATGTGAACTAAATCATCACCAACTGCATTTGGTGCAAGTCAGCAAAAGTGTCACACATTCTTTACTTACTGCAGTCTCTCCTCCTTATATTTAAACAAACGGCAGGCAAAAATATTATTGCTTTGTAACCAGTCAATTTTTAGGAATCAAAATTAGTTTCTTTGTATTCAATGAAACTGCGACATCAAGTGTTTTTAAAAAGCTACACTACAAAAAGATACATTTTCTTGTGAAAAATTGCCCTAATTTTTAACGGCAACATTCCATTTAAGTGACACTGTTGTCCTGCTGCTAACCCCACGTTCTTCCCCCCCCCCCCTTTCTTTTCCTTGCAGCAGAGCTCAGGTTACTCTCAAAGGACAAATACTTTCAAACTGCTTAATGGTTACCGATGAACTATTAACGACTCCACTCACAAACAGTCCAGTCAGTGGCTGGTCCTCCCTTCTGGGCACAGATTAAACTCCTCACGGGTTTACAATTCAGTAAAACCTGACTACTTGATTTACACGCTTTGCTATTCTCTGTAGGAAGCAACAGCAACCACTTCACAACAGGAAAACTTCAATAAAATATATCATATATATATATATATAAGGCTATATATCTAGTGGGTTTGCCACACTGTGGAATGAGATAAAAGTATCTTCTGATCACTTTGGTATGAACCGCACGGCCCCCGCCCCCCTTCCCCGAATGAAAGGGATGCTCCCAACTATGTCCTAATGACACCTCCTGCTGTTCTTAATAACTGCAATTGCTGGCTGAGTAGGTGTTACAAAGGCCGGGCTTAACCCCGGTAACTCGGCACCGAGGTTGGGTGTTCACCTCGGAGTGCTGGTTTCTCCCTTCGTTGCCGGGATAAGGTGATTTGGAGACATCCACCTCGACTCAGGCACCTCAGTCACTGCCTAAAACTTGAAGAGCAGCATTTATACCCTCCTCTCACAACCTGCCTCACTGACGTAAAAGCCATTTTCAGCACTAGAGCAGCCAATACAGACCACCACTGGTGAAGGAACACGGGCTTACAGCAGCTGGGCAAGAGAGCTTGTGCTGGGTGGGCACCAGCTGAATAGCTCACTTAAGGTTTTTATTAGGTTTTTAATCACAGAGAACTCTTTTTTTCTAAAACTTGAAAAAAAACCCAAACCAACAACAAACCAACCAAAATGCCCACCTAATTAATTTACTAACTAAAATGCTTATCAGAAAAGGATTTTCTCCTACTTATTTCTTTTCTTTGTGAAGAAATGGAAGTCCCTATATAAGATAAACTCTGAAAAAAAAGAGATCAGTAGGCATTACCTTCATGGTGACTTAGAATCCCTTGTGGTTTTGGAGCATTCTTTTCATTCAGAAGATTTCTTTAAATGATTAAGTTAATATTTCTTATTAACAGTAGTAGCCATTGCATCCAGTAGCTATCAAATAGCAAAACCCTCCCTTCCTAGTTTTTGTCAACTTATCAGGAGGGTTACCATTCATATGCATACCAGTTTCCTTAGAAATACACTGTTTACACACACCCAGGGCAGAGATGGATCCCCACTCAGAATTTACAGCTACCCAGTTGCTAGGATGTCACCTACGCATGTTTGCAGACCAGAGCAGTGCGGAAGCAGCAGATGAGCCTCTCCACTTTTTAAATGAAGTAAATCCCCTTCTCCCAAACAACATTTTTTTTGGAAAAAAAAAAGACATGAGAAAGCTCCAACAGTAAGCTTTAAAGGAAAAAGATTTCATCTCAATATCATGCAAACGGTGTCTATAGTTAACACCATTAAGGTTTGCTGGAGAACTGGAGGGTCAAAATCCCTTATCTTTACAAAGGCAGTGTTAGAAGTACACATTATTTGTATCACCCTGATCTTCTTAGAGCTTTAAGCATTGACCTACAAATGGAGCTGCTCCTCTCCTCAAACTCCAAGCACTAGTCTTTCAAATAACTTTTCCAAACTCCCCAGCCAATTTTCTCCTTCATCTAAAGATGCCACTGGCAGCAAAACACCAGTTCTGCTCTGTCTCTGGTTTATCTCCCATCTTTGACAACATGTGCCATATACTCTTGTGAATATAAAGCCTTGCAGCCTGAAGGCTGCAGAGAATTTCCACCTCCAGAGACACAGCTTATCAATTCTTCTGTTTACTCAATGTCTCACAAATACAGAAAGATAATAATTTGTGATTAAACATTTTATTCTGTTATTCTCTGGAGAAAGAAAAAGACATTTCTGAAAAATCTTTATAAAGAACTGATTTCAATACCCATCATTACTGTACATATATTAGAGTGCTATGTAGAAGGATTTTAATGTACTGTGCTCAACCTTATTGAACCTATTACATAAAAAGACAAAGACTCAAAACACTCATACTTGTCAGTTTGTTTTGTGGAAGTCTCTGATTCATCTCCCTGAAAGTTTATATCTTCCAGCTGATTTACCCCATTTTTGAATTCTTTCTGATACAGAATATACCCAAACTGCTTGTCCAGCATTAAGGTTTAAATGCCTCCCTGCAACATATTCTCAAACATTTCAGTTTTATTTGGTGTTCCACCTTCAGGCTTCTCAGGAGCACTCTGATTAAGAGCATTCCAGAGCCTCAAGTCCTTGAGCTCTTTTGCAGGGGCAGTTCAGCAGGAAAGCAGGGCTTCAGACAAAATTCACTGTTACGCTGTGAGTTAAGAATGCTGAACCTTGAGGCAACTACACTGGCCTGCAGCACCATCCCCAGAAACACTCTGGCAGCACACTGCAGGCCAAACGATTCACTCTGGTAGCAACCACAGCTCGCTTCCAGCTGCTCCCTTCCTCCCTTTCCAACCGTGCCAGGGCACAGAGCATCGCAGCAAGGCTGAAATGC